CAAGGTCAAACAAATTCTATACAATGGAAGGAGACTGCGACCATAAAAAAGACCACACCATCTTGGTCTTAATACTCTAAATAATTTTAGCCTCCCTATCATATGTCTCCTAATTTTTACGGTGAAGCTTGATATAATATTATATATCGGAATGATATTTTCTCATCAAATTGCAAAATCTAGGAGGGACGCCATAGCCAAGAACAGTCAAGAACAGCTAAGTGACAAGGTTGACTTTGGATTGTTTTCTTTGATCTGTTATAAGTATTTATGTTTAATTCAGAGCATATAAAATAAAACTCATCAACTTAACAAGACATTTTTTAGTATTACCAATGCGATTAATGTTTAAAAAAACCACTAAACATTTATGATCGAGGATAGAATTTGCGCTCTTCTAATTGATTAAAGTTGTCGTTGCTTGTTTGTGCCTTCTCATACACATCAATGCAGATACGCATATAATAGTACACATACATATGCTTCTAGGTTGGCATGCGACAGAAACTAACCAAATCATAAAAATGCTTATGTATGTAGAGAAATGTAGATGCGCTTTCTCAACCTGGCTTGAATTACTGCTAAGAATCATTCCCTCATATGAAAAACAAAGCTTAGCATATTTTCGCCGGGATCAAAGGAGATTGTCACGATGACAGCGCTAATTTGGAACATTCTTATCCAGTAGATACGACTCCACTTTTAATTTCTTATGAAAAGTTGGTTGGAAGTGGTTCGAAGTAAAGACTGTTGGATTGTGTGAAGACGTCCTCGCCTCACCGTCCTGTGGTCTCGGTGCATAAGTAAGAAATTAGTTCACGATAAAGCTTCTTAATACAATAAGCCGAGGTTAAAGGCAGCTAGCTGCAATCCTATTCTCTTCTTAAGCCTTATTTCGCGACATTATTGTGGCATCTGATAGTTTTTTTGGCTACTCAAGCTTGCAGATGAGCGGTCGTTGCATGAAGAGGATGTATATTTGATTACGACTGCTTCTTCACGCAACTACTCTAGCATTTGATCCTACAACTTTGGCGCAAATTTTGGCGTACAGTTGTACGTGTGTTGTTGTATACATTAACCGATTTATATGGATTGAGAGGGCCTTAACCAGTCTCGAATCAATTCAGACCTCTTGCACAGCGATTCTTCATGCTCCCTATCGTGCGTCATGTGTTTAGCCTGTTCGGATTTTGGGCTATTTAGATTCTTAAGAATGTTTTTTTAGCCAAATAATCTTTTCCGAATGGGTCGACATGTCTTCTTTACATGAGCATTGCGACATGGGCACTAAACCTTGTAACGCTCAAGAAGAAGGGCTTAAAAATGAGCATAACGAAGGCGGGCAGGACAGACAGACTATTCTATTACTTTCTTGATGTTGCCATCCTGCCAGCTTTCGGAAAAGGTGGGTGGACAGCTGAATAATCGGAACATCAGAATAATGTACCGAGAAAAATGAACACTATCCTCATTCATGACTACTTTTCGATAATTTTTGGACCCTCCTTCCAGATCAGGATTCTACAAGATTATGTGCTCATTTGATGATGTATTTGTGTTGTTGGGGGTATACCGACCCATCCAGAAGAGTTTATCTGAACACAACCGCTTGCAAAAGTCTATAGATCCTAAAATCCACATGGTTAAATCAGGACACTAAATAGAATCGTCCAAAATACAGTGTATCGCAGGATACGGTGATTTTATATCCAAGCGTAAGATTAGTGAGTCCACAGGAATAAACAAAACTACCAATATCCTGAATAGGAGGAACGAGTATATGAAATTGAGCAGTAATTATTTGTGACTGTTAAATAGACTTGAGGAGAGACGTAAAGAGAGGAAAAAGGAAGAACCGCTGAGGAAAAGGCTTTAATAGCTTCTAGTCTAATTAGACTTTCACACTTCACATGACTTGGACTTTCATACACACAATATGCAACATCACATATGTAGAAAATTACAGGAACATTCGTTTGATTATTTAGGCAAAGAAAAGCCTGTCTCTTCATCCACTCTCTTTTCATACATCGACCTCCCTCATTCACATTAATGTATGCTAGGCATTAAATAACGAACCCATTCATGGGATGCCCAATTATGGTCACAAAGTTAGGCGTAAAATGTGAGTGTGACTGCTCTGGTCCACCCTTATTTTGGAGTATTGTATTTAAGTCGTATTTGAGTAAAGTTTCGAGAATTCTACTACCAGTCCTTCATCACCTTACACGAAATAGGGTGAATACATCTCATTATATTGTATTTAATGCGATTTTTCATAAATTATGGTTTATCGCTCTTACAAAAACTGTTACTATGCTACAGACGAAAGCTTAGTACAGGTTGATCGGAGTCGCAAAACGATGAACCAAAGATTTATTCGCACAATCCAACAGTCTTCACCCCGCGGCACTCATTCAGTTTCCGGGACGACCATTTCACGAATTCCTTTCTGTCAACTTTCCCTTCGAAATGGAAAGTCATGTCACAATAACTGAAGTGTTTGTTTCCCTTTAGACTTTGTTCTAGCGTATGAGATGTCTAAAAAGTTTAGTTATAAAATGAAACATTTCCTTTATTGTTCCATTTACTCAGTAGTTCAGCCACCTTTTTTGTAAATTGACATTATGGTAACGCTATAAATCAACTATCTGTCCGTCCTGACATAAATAGCTATTTCAACGCATTTTATTTATATATTTTTAGAATTATTGTCTATTAATCCTCGACGCTGATTATTCTGAGTTAGTATATCACTCAATCTACCGATTTCCTGCTCCAAGTGATTTACCTATGCTAGATGCTTACTCCTTACTAGCCTCGACTTTGTATCACCTATCTTGACCAAATAGGTATCATCTAAAAAGAACATGAGGAGAAACCCGTACATATAGGTTCCCTTAGCACAGCTCTTTCCAACTTTTTACCTTCCATAACTGGTAGCCTATCCTCCTTTTCCAACTATAGTAAATTTAGTTTTCCCATTTAATTAGAGAATCCTTCTCATCTATCTTTTCCGTGTTACTAAACATCAAGATAGTCGTCTATATACTTAACTAATAGATTTGGGTATTGCAATGTCTCTTGAATTGATCAAATCTCCAGTTGAGCCATGTAGTTATTAGTTCCAATTGGAGTCAAACACGATCCCATGGCTCAACCCTATGTTTGCTCATGCTATTTTGCGTTATATATAAATTTTACATGTACAACTTATGGCTAAATTTGCGTTCATAGTGTAGGATCAAAAGCTGGTTTATTTATGCGAGCAAACGCGATATCCTTTAGCTCAAGCAGCTTGATGCCTGAATAATTTCCAAATTAATATGATATAAAAGTAAATTTATTATCTATTTTTCGTTTATAAGTAGACTTTCGAGACTGCCAGTAGATCATATATACGAGATGTAGCACCCTATTTAGTTGAAGGTGATGAAAGACTGGTAATTTAATTTGCCCACAATTACATGAACCCTTCATCACCCTAACTGAAACATAGTGAATGCATCGCTTATATATTTATTATTCGCAAAGCCCTTTTACGCGGCGGCATTCCCTATTGGCGTAATAGCCATTTGTAGTTTAATATTTGGTGTATATGCTGCTTATAATGCCATGCTACTCGCTAATGTGCTTTAGTAGTATCGGTCATTTTATTAAACTAAGTATGCCACACTTTCTCTTTCAGGAGTTGAATTCCGCTCTCCCAATGAACTATCATCCTCTAGCTCAGCCATCTTTGCAGCAGCCACTCCCACCTCTGGTCCCTCGGTAGCCGCCGGAGGCCCATCAGCTGGTTCTCAGCCTGCGAGAACTGAAGGTATATTCGAGCAATTACCCTGGCCCTCGGAGCCCGGCCCACGTCTCGACCTTGATGAGAAGATTTTCTGGGCCACTTCAGAACGTTGTGGTAGACGGATGCAAACCGGAGAGTTTGTTTCCAGCTGGAGATGGACTGGCTTTCACTTCGGCCTCGACGTTGTCATAAAATACAAGCGGAGGTATGCACTTGAATTGTAAGGCTCCTTCCTATGGTGCTATTCAAAATTTGACTGATGAAACCTTCCTCTTTAAATTAATGACTCTCTTAAGAACATTGGCTCAAAGACATGACTCTTTATTATCAAGTAAGAGTTGGTAGAAAAGAATTCGTGAAATTGTCCAGCCGGAAACCGAATAAATATTGCCATTGTTGGATTGCGCGAACAAATCCTCGGGTCACCGTCCTGCTATCCCGATCAACCGCTGC